TTTTTGCATTATGCCACTCTGAAACTAAATGAAAGTATAAGAAGGAAACTGAAGCTGCATATTCAATGGAGAATGTGTGAAATGCATTCCATAAATAGAGAAAGAAATATCAGGATGAAATTCCAGCTGGGTGGGATTCCTAGAACTATAGGGGGAAAACAGAGCCTCTGGCTGAATCTGTGGAGGAGTGGATGGACTCCTGTAATCTGCACCATCTATGTTATTGATCAGTGAGGTCAAGGACAGAATTACTCACTGTTGGTTTTCTCCTGGGACCTCTAATTTGGTCTCTTTGCCAGAGTGATTTGTCTTTCTTCCATGCAATCATTTTGCAAAGGGCTACAGAAGGTGACCTGTCTTCTCATCAGCCTGCTGTGGCTTGGGGGACACCTGCCAACAGATGCAAAGAGACTCCCATTTGATGCAGAGATGCTAACATGTCTCCCTCTGCCAGGAGATGTGTTCAGGGCTGAGCCACATGGCTTCCGGCCTTCATCTAGAGATAAGTGATCCTTCACTGAGAGGCAAAGGGAACCACATGGAGTCCAGAAGACCAGGGTATTCATGTTTGTGAAACAGTGAAACACTCAACCCACAATGAGCTGTAGTGGTGTTTTATTTTTGTAAATTAAACAGGTCAAATAGACAGGTAGTTTCAGTGTTTATTTAACTGATTCTCTTCCTCCTAGAATATATCCATATCTAGAATATATCCTTTCCATATCTACATTCCTATCTACAGTTTTTATAGTAACTCTTTTTTTGCTTTGATCACTTACCTTGATTCTCTTGAACGCAGTTTATTTTAAAATGTAGCTGTGATCACTGGTGGTTTTTTTTTGTTTTGTTTTGTTTTGTTTTGTCTCTCAGCCTTCAACTATTCTCTTTTTTGGCTACAATTTCTATTATATTTCTTTTAATGGCTACAGTGAGGGAGAAAGGAAAATCCCCATGGGAGGCAATCGCAAGTGAGTGCCTGCTTTTCACCTTTGCCTGTAGTGAAGCATTGTAGTAGTGTCTGGGGACAGGAACCCAAGGCCCAGGCTTCCTGGATTCAAATCCCAAACTCTTTCCCACTGCTAGTATTACCAACCTGGCTTAGTACTCAAATTCATCAAGCCCAGGTTGCTGGGAAATGAAGGTAAGTCAAATGGTATTGGCCTCTGCAAGGATACAGAACCCTTCTAAACCTTCTTCTTTGCAGGAAGGGTCAGATAAATATTGCTTTTGTGGTGAGTGGTGGTGTCAGAAAGGTAAGTCAGAGGTGGACATGAGTTCATGATCACAGTTCTCACTGTAAGTACCATAGAATTGTGAATTATTTGGGTGTGTATGCCTTTCTAAATTCCTTCCAGAGTGTGGAAAGAATTCTTTGGTTTGATGGCTTCTTACCTGTGCTCTAGTTTGTCACCTCTATGCAAAAAAAAAAAAAAAAAAAAAAAAAAAAAGATTTTGCTAAGGGTAGGCTCTGAATATGGGGCTGAAACTTGATTACAATCCAGACATTGAAAACTATTCTATTTATAAAGAAGAAAAAGGATATCACTATCCACCCACACTTGACATCTAGACCTAGTGCAAGATATATTTCTTGCAGAAGTAAAACTAAGTGGATAATTTGTGATATGCTTTCCTATCTTTATTTTTATTAAAGTTATATGGGCACAGAGCTTAAAGAGGCAACCCATTCTAGAAAGCTTATTATGGAAAACAGCCATCCTCCAGTCCCACCATCACCATTTCCCCACTCTTCTAAGGTAACTACTTTCCATTAGTTTTCCTGTTCCTGATATTTGCTCAGTATCTCTAAATAACCTACTTAGATGGCAGCTACTTGATTTTTTCAGTTACAAGTGTTCTCCATTTATTTCACAGTATAGAAGAGGAGGGTTTGCGTCTCTTTTAGCCCCACCCATCTCACTACCCAGCCCCCATCTTCCCCTAAAGAGTTATAAGTTTGGTTAGACAATAGTCTGCTTAGTTTATTATCACTTTATGACCACTCTTCATAGTTGAGCCATTAATATACAGTGGTTCATCTTCTTTGGGGCACAGTCCTATGTTTACCTTGTGGCTTATAATTGTCTTTTTTATTGTTTGCTTGCTTAGTTTTCTATGTTCTCTTCTTAGAGCTCTCTAATCTTCTTTCTGTAGATTCAAAATTATCAACTGATCCATCAATTTTGTCCTTCTGGCAACATTTTTTTCTGTAGTCTTCTGAGTCACTCCAATCTGGCTAGGTTGTTCTCTAAGCCTGCTGTAAAAATTTCATTTTGGAATTTCCTTTTATCATCCTTCTAAATTCTCCCTTCACTGTCATTCTAGAAATCCCCTTTAATTATCATCATAGATTCTGGTTGCTTGGTATTATGTTTTATTGTAACATAATTATATGTAACAAGTGCTTTACTCCCTTATTTTGGTGGAGTACATTCTCCAGTAGCTTTTTCAGAAAGGACACATAGGAGGCAAATTTTCTGAGACAACTAAAATTTTATTTTTATTCCTTTCTCATTTTTAATTAATAATTTGATTGGGCATAGAAATGCAGTTGTTTTCCTTTCTAATTTTGAGAGCATTACTCCATTTTTTGCTAGCTTTCCATGTCTTTGTTGAGTACAAAATGTCACTCTGGTTTTTATTTTTTGTATATAAACCTGCTTTCCTCTGTCTGGTAATTTCTAGGGTCTGTTATTTGTTCCAGTGTTCTGAAGATTTATGATTATCTGCCTTGATGTACGTCTTGTTTTGTTTATTGTGCACTCAGTGAGATAAACTCAGAGGACCCTTTTCCTATGAAAATGCATGTCCTTAACTTCTGGAATGGTTTCTGAATTATTTATTTGATCATTTCCTCCCTCTGTGTTCTCTGTTTTCTGGAACTTCAATTCTTCAAATACTGGATCTCTTATTTTCTATTAAGGTAAAGAATGAGCATTAACTGGGCTGTATGAAGTAAGGAAGGAGATTTGGAGAATAAATTCTTAAACAGTCTTTTGATTGTTCTGTTTTCAGGCCCATCTTTATTCTAACTTTTAGAACATTCCCAATTATTCTTCTGCTTTCCAGCTTCCAAAATTTTGTTGTTCTGATCAGCTCTTCTGTTCCTTTTGCATTGTGGGTTTATGACCTGTTTATAAAAAACTCTTTAGTATTATCTTGTTATGGTATAACAAGAACGGTAATGGTATGTGTTCAATCTGCTGTTGTTAACTAAAAGCCCAAGTAATGTGTTAAAGAAATTCAAAATGGATATTTGCCACATGTTTTAAGCCCATTTGTCTGATTATAATGAAGTGAATAAATACAACCTTTTATGACCTGCTGGAAAATGAACAATTTAGTCCAATTTAATCTATTGCATAAATGGTGAGTGATGACCACAGATTCTAAGAGTTTACAGTACTGAGAGAGAATGATAAAAGGGTAAAGAATACTTTATATTTATTCTAACGTGATTTTTCTGATGTGAGTTCTCTTCTTGACAACCCTGTCATGTGTGACTTAGATCTGCAAATGCTTCACCTAATAAGGCAAAATTAGCTACAGGAAATAACTAAGTGTTCATATAAGAAGTGGGGAATGCATTAATGGAAAGAGACTGGCCTCGTTATTCATTTATGGTCCTATGTAAGTCATGCCTTTCATGTTATTTGAATCCAGAAAACCTCCAGTTTGACTTGGTCTGATTTTTACAGACTTGCATAGCAGTCAAGGAGGGTAGAGGCTCAGGAACTGCACGTCCCTGGGGTTCCTTTTTCCCACTGTGTTTGGTGTAGCGTGTGCCTGTCATTACCCCTGCTGAGAGTGTTGACTTGTGCTGTGTCTTTTTTCACTTACTAGGCCAAGGGCAAAGGTAGCCAGGCAAACATCCTGTGTCCATGGGGTAGTCGGTACTCTTCTAGAGAAGGGAAAGGGACTTGCCAGTGACAACCCTTGGGACAAGGTGTGTGAACTCTCCCAGACTTATTTGTAAGGTCTGCCAAAGTGAACCTACACTGTAAAGACAGAAAAATACTAAATATTCCTTAATAAGAGACTTTGAAGAACTTTCCAGGGAGAAATGATTCTTTCTCCAGAACAGAAGCCTGAAGCTGACATCCAGAGCTCTCTCCCCTCCCCTCAGCCTCTCCCCACCACTTCTAGCCCTGGCTCCTCTGCCCTCCTTTGGACCTGGCAGCCCCCTCCTCTTGCAGGGCAAGGCTGCTTTAGCCTCCAGCAATGTGCCTATCAGCCTTGTCTCAGCAGAGCCAGCATCTCTTTAAAAAGGGACATCTCCAAATGCCAAGAAGATTTTCCCCTGGATCAGTGTGCAAATCAATCTTTCAAAGATTCTGATTAAACCAGGGGTCAAATGCCAGCAAGACCAGGCATATCATAGAGATGAGGGAAGAAGGTCTGGCAGAGACAGGCTTGTCCACACCCCTTCTGAAGGACAGCAGCGGCAGCCCAGCACAGGTTGTTCACTCCACAGGGCAGGACAGGCTGTAGCAGACGCTAGAGTCATGACAGAGGCACAGGTTAGGATTGCTCCTCCTATCCCCTTGACGTTATGGATGTCAAGGCAGGCCTGTTCCTGAGGCACCTGAGTCTCCTCTGATAGGCAACTTTGCATTAAGGATTCCCTGGGCCTCGCTGCACCTTCCTCAGACTGCCTGGCAGCTGGGACAGTGCACCCAACCATCCCTGTCTCCTTTGCGGGGGTCAGACACGCATCACAGGTGGACAGGCTGCATGTCCAGCTCCCCCGATGTCCCATTTTCTATCACCAGCTCTTTCCCCCTAACGAAATTGTTGCAGGTTTAAGTCCATCTTCATGTCTGCCTCTCAGAAGATCCAGACTAATATGCCTAAATACTTGAATAAATTCCTATTGATTGGCAGATGGATTGGGTGCAGGACAGGAGGCCTAGACAGGAAGCTGGTTGAGCCTGCAGGAGTCCCGCCGTCTCATTTGTACAGTCTATATCCTGTTTGACTTTGTTTCCCTTCTCCTGCAGGTTGTGGCTCTTTCCTCCTGGTGCCTGCTGAGGGATTCGATTTACTACACGCTGTCTGTGATCGCGCTCATCGTGGTGAGTCGCTCTGGCCATTTCAGCTCCCATCAGTGCTCTTTTAAGCACCAGGGGTGGTGTGCGGCTCCTCCGCGTGGAGTTCACTAGAGGTCACCGGTGGCGAGTGCATGATGCATGTCTTTGCTTGGAGGCAGATTTCTTTCTTTCAGCTACTTTGATCACCCAGAACTCAGCCTGACCAATTGCTGGTCAGAACTGGCATTTAGACTTGGGTTATCTGGGTCTGTGAGAGTCCATGGCTGTTCTCTTGAGACCCTGCTGAGCATAGCTCTTCTGTCACTTCATTGGCGTCCCTAGCTTTGGACATCACTTCTCCCCCTTCTCACTCTGTATGCTCTGCCAGGACTCCCTGCCCTCCCACAGAGCCCATTACCATGGCCACCTTTGTGCCAACACCAACACCCGTATACTCAGCTACTTAGCAGTGACACCTCCCTGAGGTCCCGTGGTGGATAAAGAACTCTCTACTAGACATCTCCATGCCCCAACTCAACACGTCCCTAAATAGAATCCTTCCTTTTTTTTTTTTTTTTTGAGATGGAGTCTTGCTCTGTTGCTCAGGCTGGAGTGCAGTGGCATGATCTTGGCTCATTGCAACTCTGCCTCCCAGGTCCAAGTGATTCTCCTGCCTCAGCCTCCCGAGTACCTAGGACTACAGGCATGCACCACCATGCCTGGCTAATTTTTGTATTTTGGTAGAGATAGGGTTTCACCATGTTGGCTGGGCTGGTCTCCAACTCCTGACCTCAAGCGATCTGCCCGCCTCAGCCTCCCAAACTGCTGGATTTACAGGTGTGAACCACTGCACCCGACCCCTAAATAGACTTTTGATGTTTTCCCCAGGACTTGCCTTTCCATATATTTCAGTCCCCGTTCCTATCTTAGCCACAAACTGGGAATGCGATTAAACTGACCTTTCCCTCAACTCCCAGCATACCCATGTGGCTTAGTTGTACTGTGGATTTCAGCTTACCACAATCTCCCCAGTGCATTCCTCCAGAGCTGACTTCAGCTGAGGCTCTCTGCATTGCGGGCCTGACACAGCAGCTGCTGCAGTTCATGGCGGGTCAGTGTTTCCGTGCAGTGCATCTCCACCGCTTACTCCCCGCTTCTCTCTACCCCCAGCCAGTCCTCACGGCCATCCAAGTCGCGTCTCCACAAAGAATCCCTGCAAATGCTTCTATCCCTTGTTCAACTGCTCAGTGGCTCTGTGTCGTCTATGGGGAAAAATTCATACTCTTTAGCGTGGCAAGCTGGGCTGTCCACAAAAAGGGTGAAAAATTGGAAAGAAGATTGAAATAGGAGTCGGGAGATCTGACTCCTAGTTCTGCTTGCCCCTTTACCATCATGGTTAATTTTATGTGTCAACTTGACTGGGCTAAGTTGTGTCCAGATGGGCTGGTGAACGTATTTCTGGCTGTCTGTGAGAGTGCTTTTCAGAAGAGATCAGTGTCTGAATCCTAAAAGATCACCCTCCCCACGGTGGATGAGCATGATTCAATTCACTGAGGGCCCGAATAGAACAAAAAGGCAGAAGAAGGGTGAATGTGCCCTTTCTGCTTGAGCTGGGCTATGAATCTTCTCCTGTCCTCAGACATCAGTGACATCAGTGCTTCAGGTTCTTGGGCCTTTGGATTCAAACTGGGACCTACAGTCCTGGCTTCCCTGGTTCTCAGGCCTTCGGGTTTAAACTTGCACCACACCACAGGCTTTGTAGATGGAAGATCGTGAGACATCTCAGCCTCCATGGTACTGTGAGCCAATCCCTCACAGCAAATCTCCATTATATATATGTCTTCTGTTGGTTCGGTGTCTCTGAAGAGCGCTGACTAATGCAACCTTCACTGGCTCTCATGACCTTGGAGAAATCAATCTCTCTAGGTTTCAGTTTTCTTACCTACACAGTGGGGATAGATCAACTAAAGGGTCTACTCACTTGTTTGACAAAGCTCTTAACAGTAGATTATTTTATTGTAAATCTTTATGTAAATAAAATGAACACGAGGGTTGATGTGAGATTTTCCCTGAGGAACCAGACAGGTACTTCAGTGACCAGCAGTTTCTGACATTGAAAATCTTGAGTTTACAAGCCATCACAAGGTTTGCCAGGAGGTCAATGTTCCCTTAAAATGTGCTCTCAACCTTGTCCTCCAGCGTCCCCAGATTAAAACAGGAAGGGAACTGGACCTGCCATGCTCCCCTAATTCCAGGGGCCCTTTGTCACTGGGAGGGTTGGAACCCACCCCACAGAGCAGAGAGATTTGGAATGTCATGCTGGAACCGAAGACATGCTTCATCTTTTACACTTCTGGTTAGGAGATTTAAGGACATACATGAACTATGTTCTTATTCTCAGTTATTACCCGTGAAAAGGGTAGGATCACCTGGAACCCAAGGACTCTTCCCAGACTTCTCTAATACCCCTTCCAGTGAGCTTCATCCTTCTATGCACAAACCCACACTGACTGCGTGCCCTCTGCTCTTCTGCCATTATGGGATGTTGGGATGATTTTTGAAAATTATTTTTTTAAAAAAGACATGGTTAGGGAACAGTGTCAATGAACACAGCCCTCTACTTTGCTGAATTCCAGAAGGAGATGACTGTGCTCGTGAAAACAAGGTGGTGGAACGGAACGGAGCAGATTCAGATCTCCTGGGAGCACAGACTTAACCACACATTCCCAACAGCAGTTCTGCTGGTGTTGGCTTCTTTCCCTGTTTTCCGCATAGACACTAACTGGACTATGTGTGAAATCACTAGTCTTCTGTTCAATGTATCTGGATATATCCAAGATAAAATGAATATAATTGTTGTTAATGACGTGTGAAGAAGTAAAGAGGTTTTTCTTCTCTGGGCTTTGAGTAACTCCCTCACCGAGTCTGGACTTTGGGCAAAGCAATCATCTGTCCTTGGGGTGCAGCGTATAAACCCCAGAGCTGAGCTAGCTGAACACGCAGGCTGCCAGGACAGCTCCATATTTCATTCAGACAGCAACAAGCCACACAAGCAAATGATTCTTTGCTGTTACCTGAAGATGTGGACTGTACATTTACAGACCAGGTGTCAAGGCTAGAGTTTTGTGATTTGAGAAAAACTACATCTCTCCACTGTTAAGAAGAAATAGAAAAGATAAAGTTTGAGTCCTCAAGGTTAGGTCTTGGTTCTTTTTACTTTAACTGATGTTCCTCCCACTTCAGTCTGCACTGGAAACACCCAGGATGCCTATTTAGTTCAACAGCCTCTTGGTTAGGACCTGGGAAATTGCATTTTAACCAACATCTTCCCTCAACCGCAGGTGATTCTGATGCCAGCAGCACCACACTGCATCTTGAGAAACACAACTTTAAATATGGCTGGAAACTGTTTCCTTGGGGTATTCATCTGTGGCATAGAAATGACAATTTCTAGAGTCAGTTTTGAGATTCCCAAAGGAAAGGAATCATAGCAGCCTAAGTAACTTTAGTTGCCTGGATTTCTGACTATTGCTAGTCTGAGTAGACTCTTAAACTCTTGTTAAGTGGTGGCCAGACTCCCAGGGTCATTTTTACGTGAGATTTGAAACTGTCTGTGAGGGTTAAAACAGAGTTTCACACCCAAAAGTGCTGCAGTTCACAAAGTACCTCTCACAATATCTCCACATCTATTCCATGCCCCCAGCCAGAGGCTACAGCTCACACACACTCTGTGTCTTTTTTCTTATTCTCCTCTTTCTATTTCCCCTAATATCATGGTAACAAAATCACTTTTCCTCCAGTTTCCCTTAGGTAATACGAAGCTTCTCTATAGGACTCTGCAATGAGCACTTGAAATTCCTTTATTTAAAGGCCCTTTCTCCTACCCACCAAATAATTACCAACCTTCCCAAACAATGCATTCAACTATTCGGGTGTTTTCAAACCCCCCTCCCTACTATACAGCACTGAAATGTTCAGAAGGTGTAACTGTCAGTGTCCTGAGGTTGTGCAATAAAGAGCTCCTTCACCCAGAGGGCAAGTCAGGATTAAGCAGGACCAGATGCCGTTCTGTGTACATGCCCACCAAGGGGTTCTTCAGACCTCAGCAGAGGAGCCCTGGAGACAAACAGTGGGGCCTGGAGACCCACAGAGAGGCACCGCGACTTCTCCAGAGAGGCTGATGGCTGCTGAGGGGCCGAGGGTTCCCAGGAGGCCAGGAAAGTGCTGATAGAGTCCTTATGACCTGGATTCAAAATGGCCAAAATGTCAGCTGATGTGGGCGGGACGTGGCGGGGGGCTGACAAGCAAAACCACAGGAGCAGGAAGCGCACGTGCATTCCAAAACCAACAGAGCTCACCACGGTTCATTCAGACGGAGACGCGGGGCGATCCACTTCCCTATTTGGGTGTTTCACCTAAACTTTCCTCTGTGCTATTTTCTAGTTTGTTTGTTTGAAGGAGAAGCAAAACAAATGAATTTAGTCAGTGTCCAAAGCAATTATAATTTCAAAAACATAAAATGTGTGCTTCTCGGGGCCCTTCCTCCACCCCAGTCAACGTTCCCTTAGCCCCGGTGACATTCCATACTTTGAAACATCTGGCCAGCCGTGGAGAGGCTGGACAGTGGCTCTGAAAGCATTGAGGAGGCTCCCCCAATGCCTTCAGTCTCTTTTTGCAAGACAGACATCACCTTTTAAGTCCTGAAAGAGTTCTAGGTTCTTTAGAGCCCTTCCTTGTGCCCATCCACCCAACAGCCAAGTGCAAGTCATTGCAGATTCGTCGCTGCTTCTCCTCTGCCCCCAGTGAGCACTTCAACTACGGGTATCTCCGGCCTCCCAGTCCTCTCTTTTCTCCAAATTCCAGCAGGCCGACAGTTTTTTGTATTGAAATGTTACTGTAATTTACATAATCAGATAATTTACATAAATGCAAATGATTCATTATATACGCAGTCTAACAGCTGCTCTAAAAGAAATACTTTATTTTTACCCTTCGTCTCTTCTGGAGGACGGGGATTGTGAACATGGAGAGGAGGGCCGCCCCCA